GAGAGAGTCTGACCACCTGATCCCATTAGTCGCCTCTTATGACAAGCATGGGTTTCTGAAAACCAATTCTAACCCAGATCTTCATTGGTTAACAGTGAGACATTTTCATTCTAGCAAATGCAAACCTGTCTGGACACAGTGGCCTCATACGATTGGAACGCAACCTATCCATTGATCATTGTCCACAGCATTGTCATTGCTGGAACATGCTATTAACTGCACTTACAAATAGCATTCAACTTTAGAGTGAGAGAGTGTGCTTGTTTTATGCATCAGGCTGAAAATAATCTCAATGCTATTTATCTTATTACACATGAAGGTTTTGGATTGGTGAGTCTAGTAAATATAACTAAACACCAAATGGACCAATAATGTTTAAAGTAAAGTATGTTTAATATTTTTTACAGAAATAGTGCATGTATTTACTCTTTATGTAAGAAGGTTTTGTTTTCTGTTGGTTGGACCGCCTGGAGTGGTTAGCAAAAGGTCTTTCGATCCCCGACCCGCGTCATACCAAAAGAATGTGGTACGTTATGGTACGTATTAATGGGTACAACAAGGACTGGTCGGCTCGGAGTCAGTATGATTACATGGTATCTCAGTGGGCTATATCTGGGCTAGTACTGCACATCATATGAGCAAAATATTCTCAAGCACAACGTTAAACCCAATTTCACCTCACCTCACCTCACCTGCTGGTAGTGGAAGCAAACTTGATTCCAGTCTTTCCCAAACCACTGATGATTACTGATATCTAACACAGAAAGTATTTCACTTTTACCCAAGTCTGTGCTTGTAGTCTAGTTGTTAAATGTTCATTGCCATGTGGATGATTTGGGTCAGATTCTCAGTGTGTACAATGCGTGAAGCACCTTTCTGGTGTTCCCCACAGGGATACTGCTGGAGTGTTGCTACATGTGCCTTAAAATCATACTCACTCAACTCACAATTGCAGCACCAAAACCTGGACCGAAAGTTGGTGCCAAGTAGTGGGGCTTTGTTCCCTTTTACAGTTGCTATTGTCAAAGACAGTGCATGTTATAAATCATTGTTATCATGTAAAACATGTCAATAGTTATTTTAGTTTTGTCTGATTTGAGGTTGGACTTCATTATTTCTAATCTTAAGAAACCTGCTCAGGTAAATCAAAATATATTTAAACTATATTCATTTCATTTTCTGTTTAAGGCTTTTGATTTCAGTCAAATCAGTAAATAAAAGCAAACAAATAATGACACATCACCTTGACTGGACACTTTGTAGTGACTTCTTGGGAGGGCCTAACACCTAGATCAGTCTCCATGTAATATCAAAATGTTCCTGAAAGTACTTTAAAATTAATTGTTGGATTAAATGTTACCTGGAAGATATCAAGATAATTGCAGAATATCTGCAGAATTTTGTCTTTGTTGTGCAATGCTGAATCTAAACTATATCATGGCAGCCAGTAACCAATCAAGTCAAGATCAGACAGTTGACATCATCATCTACCCATTTAACAAAGTAACAGAGCTCCACCAATCCATTTAGCTTCCACTTATAATAGGAATATGTTGCTGGGAACCTGGCCTGTCCCCTGTAGGTTGCAGACAAGAGACCACTGGGCAGAGGGAAAACTTGGAGTGATTACCTGACATAACATATAAAAGTAAATACTAAGGCAATATTTGGATCTTTGTTTTATAACCTTGGGTGAAACAGTTTAAAGATCATAAAGAAGGGTGTTAACCTTAACTTATTAAAGTAACTTGATATATCTTTCCTTTCTTTTAAAGATATATTTTAAATAGTTTGCTCCCCTCACTGATATTTTAATGAAACTATGAATTTGCAATGTAGTTGTAATCTTTTTTGGCTGGTGTGTTTATTCCACTACCACTGACCATACACACTAGGAACTGATGAGTCTTTTCATACACACTAAACAATCCAATGATCAACATCATGAGCATCAATCTGTGACAAATCACTTGTTTAATGCTGCACTAAGCATTATACCAATTATATGGTGGCAGTCTGTAAATAATCCAGTCTGGACCAGTCCAATGATCAACATCATGAGCATCAATCTGTTTATTTCAATTGGGAAACGAGGACATTAGTGTCACGCAAGTCTTAAAGGTTCATGACCACCTGCTTTGATAATGAAATTTGAGGGGTTTATTAGAAAAATGTGGTGAAATATCTATAATAATGTTAATATATCTATAATATTTAAACAAAAACAGGTAGGATCGAACTGAATTGAATGTTGGACTGAATCATCTCATATCCTTTAGGTAGACAGAGTGATGGCCCTTTGATAACATAAACTAAAATAGCTGCAACTGCACTAACGATTTGAGAGCCCAAACAACAACGATGACACTTTGGTTCACATTCTCTATACATTTTCTTCGGATCTGAACTGTTTGTATACCATTCTACTTAAGTGTTCAAAGAAAAAACGTCGCTGATGGTCCCCTATACATTTCATGTTTGAACTCAGTTGACATAGAGGGAATGAGTGAATCGGGTTTTACGTCGCTTTTAGCAATATTTCAATATATACTTCTCTTCAAAAGTTTAGACTCACTTAAAACACTCACTATGTGTTATGTATATATATATATATGGTTACATCGAAGATTGATTTCTCCACTAACTTGGGGAACCAACTACAAACTTTATGCTGATGAATTGCACGAGGATCGTTCATCAAATTGCTGAAAGGCATGTGCAAATATCGTGCATGTGAACAGCTGCGTTGTGGTGTAAAGGTTTGTTAAGAATTCGCAAATTTTCACTGATTATTATTTTTCACTGAACTCATGACAATAATCTTTTCAACGTTACGAATTTGTTTTACAATACATCAGTTCATGTGTAAATAGTACCTTTAAACAGTATGGAATATCTTGCAAAATTTAGTTTCGAACAGTTGCCTGAAGTAAGTGGCTATATTTACACTAGTGAGTCTAAACTTTTGATGAGAAGTATATTACAACATTACCTGACACCAGAAAGGACCAGACCTTGTTAATACAAATGGGATTCGGTTGCCTCTGACAGGGAACATTCCTCAATGAGTACAGCGTCTTCACAAGAACCATCTAGAAACAGTTTGGCATGATTGTACATGTATTTATCAAAGTGCAGACAAGATTGATGATGCGCTTTGTCAAATGCGAAATGTGTTTCGTACAATCGATATCTATTTCTCTTTTGTCAGGGTGTTAATGTACAGGATCCTAATGAGGCGGGATGGTCGTTATAAGGACAGGCAGTGTATTAATTAATTTTGAACCAGAAGGCTTGTTCATTAAAACTGTTGCTATCCACATCATACTTCACTGGCCCTGCAATATCAATATAAACATGCACATCGGCCAGAACTGGTGTGATGCTTGGTAATTGAAGATGGTAAGTTATTGTCGCCCCTTGAAAACAATATAAATCAAACAAACACAAAAACTAAGATTTCTTTCCAGGTTGGTGAAAACACTGCTCTAATGTGTGGTCACAGGCATTTCGTGTTTAAGGGGACATTTGTGGACGGACTTTTATCGCCTAAATAATTGACTTCATCATATTCATGTGCATTAAATAAAGAACAAATTATCTGAGATTTTCAGACAGCCAGTCGGCATAGCTTTAACAATATATTACAGGTCCGATTCACAATCAGCTAGCATTTAGCCAGCAGGCCAGTAGCTGTTTCGAACGCTGAGGACAGGTATCACAGAGCAATGTCCAGATATTGCAGGAATACTCCAGCAATGCTAGATCTCTCCTGCACCCGAAATTACATTCCATTTAACTTTCTAGATCATGATGAACTCAGCCTTTGGCGTTTCATTTACGATATGACTTGTCTTTACTGAGATGCTCAGATTTGATCCATGGACTTTTAACACAACTGTCCAGCGAATGAAAGATTTGATGTTAGGACATTGAGGGGACACTGGCATCACCCTACTGAGAGCTAGTTCATCGTTGTTAAACACCACAGCAAGAATCCAGCTATATGATGGAGGCCTGTAAATACTTACGTCTGATAGCCCAGTGGTCGATATTGTGAGCGACGGTCCACACATTAGGGCAGAAATGACGCGAATCAACAAAGACTGATCACTGATAACCATTTGTTGGCCTCTTACAACCAGCAGTTGAAGCAGCAGAGGGGCACTTCTAATCCTAACGGTACGTCTATCTACGTAAAAGTTACAGTGCCACAATTGGTGAGCAATAGTTTGAAGCTAATCACAATTAATTACATCTAGTGAGCAACATTTTGAAGCTGACTACAATTAAGAACATGTAATGTTTTTATAAGAACATATAACTACAGAATGTCTTCGACTAAGCCTGGGCGAAGAAACAACTATTTCCTATGGTTTCTTGCAACCTGGATAAACTGTCCTCACAGTGTGGTTTTCTCATAAATACTAACGGACGAATATTTGCGTTGGCAGAAAAAAACATTGACTCCATCTTTTGTACTTAATTTTCAATTTCCAATATTGTCAGGGCCCATGGAACTGGTTTGGGTGTACTTTCTTTTGTTTAACGCCGCACTGAGCAATATCCCGGCTATATGGCGGCGGCCTGTAAATTATAGAGTTTGGACCAGACACTTCAGTGATCAACAACATGAGCATTGATCTGTGTCAACCAACTCAGCGAGCCTGACCACCCGATCCCGTTAGTCGCCTCTTACTGCAAGCATGGGCTGCTGATGACCAATTCTAACCCAGATCTTCACAGGCTTTGTAATTTCTATATAACAGATGTTGGTTATGTAGGAGTATTACAAACTGAACATTCCAACCTCCACCTATCATTTCAAACTTTGAGTGTTTGGTTAAGTTAGAATTGAACTCGCCCAAAACTTCACCCTCAAGAATGTGGACTCGCCCTTAGTTACGGACACCGTTGCTAGTCGTTTCCTCGACCGTCCGCGCATCCCCTATATATTACGTCACATAGACACAACGGTTTCTTCTGCATTGTCTCTCGTCAGAGAAACACCGAAGTTCTGCCTCTCCTCACAGAAACACCGAAGTTCTGCCTCTGGAAACTTCCAGCCCTGTGAGATCCCTGAGCTGTCTGCTGAATCTTTTCGGATGACTCGAACACTTGTGTCAGGTAAGCCGTTGTCATTTATTTATTTATATATTCTGCTTTATATTTTTTTTTTTTTGTGTGTAACATTTCTTAGCGAAGGGGAAATTTGTGAAAATATAATATAGATCTACCAGAATGAAAATTCGGTGCGGGCAGAACTGAAAATAATCCATCAAAATCCGTGGCCATCAGTAGAAAAAAAATGAAATTATGATCGTGATAATTTTTGTTTCATCATCATCTATATTACGAGACGTTTATTTACTTAACAGTGATAACAGTGCATCCGAATTTTTAAAAAAAAAATCATACAACCAAAGATTAATCTGAAACGTCGAACGCCATATTTAAAAATCACGCTTCGCGTAGGCGGGTTATGTTATTATGAGATGCCTATTATATCTCATATATTTCACACTCAGCTGCGATACAAACATATCATTTAATTCCTCGTGAATTTTAGAATCAAAAGATTAATGCTTTTTGTCACCATAGTAAAGTGTCTTTATGAAATCAAGCAAAATGTGGCAGCGATAACGATCGTTGTTCTCGGATCACCCCTCTTGTTTCAAATAAAAACGATTGAGAAATTAGATTTTAAACTGTGTATCATTTTCTCCTAGTTTGAGAGATCCATTGGATTAATATTTTGAGAATATACATGACAGTGATCGGTAGATTCAACACAAACTGTCAAAGTTTCCCTCTTGTGTGACTCCATGAATGACGGCAAATTACGCAAAATGACAATGGCATTTACCGACAATTTTACGTATATCTCTTGCTTATCATGGGCCCCTTATCATAAACACACAACGTAATACCAATACTTAGACTGGCAAAATGTGGATTATCAATGTATTATTATATACGATCCCTAAATGAAAGACAGTCAACAGCAAAATAGAATCTACCGGGTACCGATATCAGTGAACGCAGCATCTTCTGAAAATCGGTCACCGCTTGTCATGTCAAACGTCATTATTGTTGTACATATTTGGCAATTCCTTACAGATGAAAGTTGATTGAATAAAAGTACACATAATGTTAGCATGCAAATTGTCATGGTGACCAGCAAATCGCGCCACCAATATCCGCTCCTCTCCGACATCATCCGTTTACGCATCAAAATATAATGATTATTAATCAATGTGTCGGATAAATATGCGCTACTCTCCGACATCATCCGTTTACGCATCAAAATATAATGATTATTAATCAATGTGTCGGATAACATTGACTGTACTGCAGTAGGCTCACAACTTCTTGGATGTGTAAACCCCAAACAACCTTGCTAACACTCCGTCCTTTCCCAGGAGCGCGTCCTTTGGGACCCCTAGGTCTTACGACCACCTCCCTCCCCACGTCCGACCAAAGAATCAGCATTATCGAGGTGTATCCCCCCTCAACCGTCCTCCCCCCAAGCCCAGGCGTAGAGCCCGGAAACGCAAGCCTAAGGCTGTGAAGGTAGATCTCTACTCAGTAGAACTCATATCAGGAAATGTTACCAAAATGTTCCTTTCAAAATAATAATGATGAAGTAACACTTTACACACATTGATACGTTATGGAAGAATGCCCAGATTATTTAGTTATTTTCAGTGTGCAAAATATAGCATTAAGTTAGAAATAATTAGATATGGATCATTATTACAAGAAGCAAGTAGGCCACGTGTGACAAATATCTTAATAGGAATAAACTCAACACGAAGCATCATGTTATCTCAACTTTAACCTATGTCACTGAGAGATGCTCATTGGGAGATTCTGTGAGAGGCCAAGATAAGGTCAGAGTTATGGGTGGAGCTAATGAGTGTAGGATGGGATGAATAAACTAAACATGAATGGGAGTCTTGCCACACTGGCATTGGTTGGACTTTTTAAAATTCTGTATTGATCATAAACTAAAACTGTCATAACCTAGAAGTGTTCCCCTGTCAAGAAATCTGCTGCCTGCCCTCACTCCCCGGACTACAGCAAGCCCAGCTATAAACGTCCACAGGTAGGACCTCAGTAGCTGCTGCTGTGACCTCAGAATAATGTGTCCTTTTGTGTAGGACCTCAGTAGCTGCTACTGTGACCTCAGAATAATGTGTCCTTTTGTGTAGGACCTCAGTAGCTGCTGCTGTGACCTCAGAATAATGTGTCCTTTTGTGTAGGACCTCAGTAGCTGCAGCTGTAACCTTAAAATAATGTGTCCATTTGTGTAGGACCTTGAAATAACATGTTTCGGTAAGCAGCAGCTGGTACTGACACCACAGACTCTGCATACTGGACGGTACCTCAGAATAGTATATGCCATCATAGTGTACAGAAGTAGCTGCATCAGCTGTGGCCTCAAATAAATGTGCCCTTTCATGTAGGACCTTAGCAGCTGCTGCTGTGACCTCAGAATAGTATACCTAATATTGTAGGAATCAAGTATCAGCTACTCTGACCTCAGAATAATATGCCCCATAGCACAGGATCTCAGTAGCTGCTGCTGCAGCTTTCCTTGTGATGTATTTTCTCACACTTTTGAAATAACTTTCAGGAGAGGGGTCTCCGGGTTTGGTATGATGAGGACAAGGTTAGTATTGTCATTAATTCAATGTCAGACTATGGCTGTAAAACAAGCCTTTCCTTCAGTCTGTCAGTATTGTAATATGGCGCCTCTCCTATTCTTACATAGGGTAAATTTGGGTAAATTGCATTCCTCTTCTACGGTGTTCAGATACTTATGAATGACTCCACCCTCATGACCAGATGTTTTGACTATTTCAGGATGACAAGGACTCTCCTTCCCAGCATCCTTCCAACAGGAAGAGCCGTCACACGGACCACCTGGCTGAGAACAGTCTGGTTCCAGAAGACTATGACTCTTCATGTCTGCCTCCTCCTCCCAAAAGGAGGAACCGCCACACCAAGCTGAAGACAGACCACCGGGCCGAGAACAAACTGATTCCAGTCTTTGCCAGGATGAGCCTGGAGGATGTCCCCAGATCTGATGCTGCTGCTTCTGCTGCTTCTGTTGCTTCTGCTGCTGTTGCTGCTGGTGATGCTGTTGTAGCTTCAGATATTCAGGGGGCTTCTTCAAAGAAAGTCAGTATTTGTTCTATTTATTTTTAAGTCATTTTTTTTCATATTTCCATGATTATACAATTTTGTCTGTAATACGGAGCATGAATGATTAAGTAGATGCTGTTGTGAGAGTCGGTGGTCCCCTGATGGTCCTGCTATGATAACAACTATTGTGTTTTGTAAGATTAATGGTGCTGAATATGTGGATGCTGATTTGAGAGCCTGCTGTTCTCAGTGTTCTGCTGTGTGGGTTCTGTGTGTGATGAGAGTTCCAGCTTATGAAGATTCTGTGAGAGTCTTTTTTCCTGCAGTGAAAAACACTATGTTGTCTGTTACAGGTTCAGGAGTGTCCTCGCAAGAGGAAGCTGGATGACCTGAAGCAGGAGCTGAGCAACAAGCAGCGCAAGGTGGAGGCCTACCGTAGGGAACTCCAGGCCACCATTGAACAGAAGCTGAAGGAGCTGAAACAGGAAGTGATTGAGAGGGAGAGGAAGGAGAGGGCATCCTTCAAGGTTACCACGGATACGCAGAGTGGCAGACGCAAGGTGTGGAGGAGAAAGCAAGGCAACTCCTCAACACAGAAGGCTGCCCAGCCACACCCACTAAAGAGACTGCCTGACAACTCCCAGCTTCCAGGGAGCACAGAGGCAGACTCACAGTGACACGTCACTGGTAAGTGGGAGTGGCATGTTAAGTTTTCATTTGTTGATAGGTTAGGTATACAAGTAGGTATCTGAATGTAGATGGATGGGTGGTTTTGGTGAGTAGATTGAAGGTTTAGAAGAAATCAGTTAAAGTTGGTGAATGGGTGTATCTATGTAGATTGGTCTGATAGTGGATGAGTAGGTTTATGTATTCAGGTTGAGTGGGCAGATGGGTGGTATTATGTTAGTGGGTTGTTTTATGTAGGTGGGTTTAGTGGGTGGATGGGTGGTCTTATGTTAGTGGGTGGATGGGTGGTTTTTATATAAGTAGGTTTAGTGGGTGAATGGGTGGTCTTATGTTAGTGGGTGGATGGGTGGTCTTATGTAAGTTGGTTTAGTGGGTGGATGGGTGGTCTTATGGAAGTCGGTTTAGTGGGTGGATGGTAGGTTAGTGGGGTGGATGGGTGGTCTTATGTAAGTTGGTTTAGTGGGTGGATGGGTGGTCTTATGTAAGTTGGTTTAGTGGGTGGATGGGAGGTCTTATGCTAGTGGGTGGATGGGTGATCTTATGTTAGTGGGTGGATGGGTGGTCTTATGTAAGTTGGTTTAGTGGGTGGATGGGTGGTCTTCTGTAAGTTGGTTTAGTGGGTGGATGGGTGGTCTTCTGTAAGTTGGTTTAGTGGGTGGATGGGTGGTCTTCTGTAAGTTGGTTTAGTGGGTGGATGGGTGGTCTTCTGTGGGTGGTCTTATGTTAGTGGGTGGATGGATGGTTTTATGAAAGTGTTAGTGGATGGATGGGTGGTCTTGTTATGTTAGTGGGTGGATGGATGGTTTTATGAAAGTTTGTTTAGTGGGTGGATGGGTGGTCTTGTGTAAGTTCGTTTAGTAGATGGATGGGTGGTCTTATGTTAGTGGGTTTAGTAGGTGGATGGGTGGTCTTATGTTATTGGGTTTAGTAGGTGGATGGGTGGTTTTATGGAAGTTTGTTTAGTGGGTGGATGGGTGGTCTTGTGTTAAGTTCGTTTAGTGGATGGTGGTCTTATGTTAGTGGGTGGATGGATGTGGTCTTATGTTAGTGGGTTTAGTAGATGGATGGGTGGTCTTATGTTAGTGGGTTTAGTGGATGGATGGGTGGTCTTATGTAAGTTCGGTCTTATGTTAGTGGGTTTAGTAGATGGCTGGGTGGTCTTATGTTAGTGGGTTTAGTAGATGGATGGGTGGTCTTATGTTAGTGGGTTTAGTAGGATGGGTGGTCTTATGTTAGTGGGTTTAGTAGATGGCTGGGTGGTCTTATGTTAGTGGGTTTAGGATGGATGGGTGGTCTTATGTTAGTGGGTTTAGTGGATGGATGGGTGGTCTTATGTTAGTGGGTTTAGTGGATGGATGGGTGGTCTTATGTTAGTGGGTTTAGTGGATGGATGGGTGGTCTTATGTTAGTGGGTTTAGTAGATGGATGGGTGGTCTTATGTTAGTGGGTTTAGTGGATGGATGGGTGGTCTTATGTTAGTGGGTTTAGTAGATGGATGGGTTTAGTAGATGGATGGGTGGTCTTATGTTAGTGGGTTTAGTGAATGGATGGTCTTATGTGAGTGGGTCTTATGTTAGTGGGTTTAGTAGGTGGATGGGTGGTCTTATGTTAGTGGGTTTAGTAGATGGATGGGTGGTCTTATGTTAGTGGGTTTAATGGATGGCTGGATGTGTGGTCTTATGTTATTGGTTTTAGTAGATGGATGTGGGTTTAGTAGGATGGATGGATGGGTGGTCTTATGTTAGTGGGTTTGGTGAATGGATGGGTGGTGTTATGTTAGTGGGTTTAGTAGATGGATGGGTGGTCTTATGTTAGTGGGTTTAGTAGATGGATGGGTGGTCTTATGTTAGTGGGTTTAGTAGATGGATGGGTGGTGTTATGTTAGTGGGTTTAGTAGATGGCTGGGTGGTGTTATGTTAGTGGGTTTAGTAGATGGATGGGTGGTCTTATGTTAGTGGGTTTAGTAGATGGATGGGTGGTCTTATGTTAGTGGGTTTAGTAGATGGCTGGGTGGTCTTATGTTAGTGGGTTTAGTGGATGGATTGTTTTTTTTATGTTGTCTATTCAAGTAGAAAGTTGTCTTGTCAAGTGGGTTTTGTAGATACATTTCCTACATACATGTATTTATTTTTCTTATCAAGCAGCAACAACAATAAATATTTCATTAAATCTATAGCTGTGTTTGTTTTCTTGTATCAGATTTGTTAATACATGCCCTTGATTCAGCCTAGATTTTGTCAGTCATTTAGTTGAGTGCAGAAAACTTTGCTAGTACAGACTGCCTCTATAAGAAGTCTATTCTCAAGGAATGCAACTTGCCCTGAGGATTTAAACAGTCACATATTTGACTGCCTTGTACATAGCCAGTATAGGTTAGTACAGACTGCCTCTTCAGGCGTGTGTGAGATTGGTTTTACACCGTTTTTAGCAATCCTCTGTAGGAGGTGTACTTGCAATTTGCCCTAAGGAGTTAAACAGTCACGTAGTTGCCTGCCTTGAGCGTGGCCAGTACAACTTGGTACCCACTTGCGTCTTCAGGAGTGAACGAGTATGGTTTTACACCACTTTTAGCAATCCTCTGTTGGAGGTATACTTACAAGTATGCAATTTGCAATAAGGATTTTGACAGTCACATATTTGACTGCCTTGTACATAGCCAGTATAGGTTAGTACAGACTGCCTCTTCAGGCGTGTGTGAGATTGGTTTTACACCACTTTTAGCAATCCTCTGTTGGAGGTATACTTACAAGTATGCAATTTGCTATACAAGGATTTTGACAGCCACATATTTGACTGCCTTGTACATAGCCAGTATAGGTTATTTTGACAGTTTTGACACATACTTTGACTGCCTCTGTGGAGGTATACTTAGCAATCCTATTGGAGGTAGTATTTGGTTAAGGATTTTGACAGCCACATATTTGACTGCCTGTGAGCCATATAGGTTAGTACAGACTGCCTCTTCAGGCAGATTGGTTTACACCACTTTTAGCAATCCTCTGTTGGAGGTATACTTACAAGTATGCAATTTGCAATAAGGATTTTGACAGTCACATATTTGACTGCCTTGTACATAGCCAGTATAGGTTAGTACAGACTGCCTCTTCAGGCGTGTGTGAGATTGGTTTTACACCACTTTTAGCAATCCTCTGTTGGAGGTATACTTACAAGTATGCAATTTGCAATAAGGATTTTGACAGCCACATATTTGACTGCCTTGTACATAGCCAGTATAGGTTAGTACAGACTGCCTCTTCAGGCGTGTGTGAGATTGGTTTACACCACTTTTAGCAATCCTCTGTTGGAGGTATACTTACAAGTATGCAATTTGCAATAAGGATTTTGACAGCCACATATTTGACTGCCTTGTACAAAGCCAGTATAGGTTAGTACAGACTGCCTCTTCAGGCGTGTGTGAGATTGGTTTTACACCACTTTTAGCAATCCTCTGTTGGAGGTATACTTACAGGTATGCAATTTGCAATAAGGATTTTGACAGCCACATATTTGACTGCCTTGTACAAAGCCAGTATAGGTTAGTACAGACTGCCTCTTCAGGCGTTCGTGAGTATGGTTTTTACACTGCTTTTAGGAATCCTCTATAGGAAAAACGTAACTTGCCCTGAGGATAACCAGTATAGGTTAGTACAGATTGCTTCTGTAGGAAGTATACTTGCAACTTGCCCTCGGGAAAGAAAGTCACATACAGGTTAGTTGGACTTCTATGGGAAGTATTGTCTCCAAATATGAGTATGTAGTATCAGCTGAGAGTATATCTGAGACCCCTGTCACATAACATAAATTAATTTTGCATGCTCATTTGATGTATGGAAGTTATATACTCAGTCCAAGTGACTTGAAGTTGTAAAAGAAAACTGAATAATTTACTTCTTGCTTTTTTATATATGGTTCACAGATTGTTCACAATTAATTTGCTTGTTCAAGTGAAGAATGATCTTTTATCATTTGTCATGATATGGATGGATTAGATGCCTTAATGAGTGATGGTACTACTAGATTCATTGAGTTTAACTTCAAGACAACAGTGAATTGTGTCTAATTTTAAAATGTGTAGGAAGCATCCATCCTCTCCCATTCCACCTCCATCTCTCCATTCCCACTTCCATCCACCCCTTCCATTCCATTCCATCCTCCCTTCCCCACCATCCTTCCATCTCCTTCCTCCTTTCCTCCATCATCTCCCCTTTCCTTCCATCCATCCTCTCCTTCCCACTTCCATCCACCACTCCCATCCCCACATCCATCCTTTCCCTTCCCCACCTCCATCCTCTCCTTTTCCCTTCCACCTCCATTCCTTCCTCCATCTTCCATCCTTTCCTTCCATCCATCCATCTTTCTCCTTCCTTCCATCCCTTCTATCCCTTCCATTCCATTCCATCCACTCCCTTCCATCCTCCATCCATCCATCCCTCCCCTCCATCCATCCATCTCCTTTCCACCTTCCATCCACTCTCCCCATCATTCCATCCCTTCCTTCCACCTCTCCATCCCATTTCCTCCATCCTCCCTTCCACGCCATCCATCCACTCCTTCCATCCACCCTTCCTTCCATTCCATCCTTCTTCCACCTCCATCCATTTCCACTCCATCCCTCCATCCTTCCATCCTATTCCTTCCTTCCTTCCATCCATTCTCCATTCCTCCATCCATCCTTCACCTCCATCCATCCTCTTCCCTGTCCTTCTTCCTTCCTCCATCCACTCATTCCTTCCATCCACTCCCCTTCCACTTCCATCCTCCCTCCATTCCATCCATCCTTCCATCCTTCCATCTCCTTCCATTCCTTCCATCCATCCATTCCATTCCATCCTCCATCCATCCTCCTTCCATTCCATCCATCCTTCCATCCCTTCCATCCATCCATCCTTCCTCCATTCCTCCATCCATCCTCCTTCCCTTCCATCCATCCATCCATTCCATCCATCCATCCCTCCTCCATCCATCCTCTCCCTCCATCCATTCCTTCCTTCCTCCATCCTTCCATCCATCCATTCCATCCATTTCCATCCATCCATTCCTTCCTTCCATCCATTCCATCCTCCTTCCTTCCATCCTTCCTCCATCCATTCCATCCATCCTCCATCCTCCTTCCTTCCTCCTCCATCCATCCATCCTCTCCTTCCATCCATCCACTTCCTCCTCCATCCATCCACTTCCATCCTCCTCCATTCCATCCTCCTCCTTCCTTCCATCCTTCCTCCATTCCTCCATCCCATCCCTCCATCCATTCTTCTCCATCCATCCATCCCTTCCCTCCTTTGTCCACTCCATCCCTCCATCCTTTCCTTCCCATTCCCTCCATCCCTCCATCCACCATCCACCCTTCCTCCCTCCACTCCATCCTTCCATCCCTTTCCATCCATCCACCTCCCTTCCATCCACCATCCCTTCCATCCTTCCATCCATTCCTTCATCCATTCCATCCACCATCCTTCCATCCATCCCACTCCTCCATCTCTCCCACCTCCATCCCATCCTTCCTCCATCCACCTTCCATCCTCCATCCATCCACTTCCTTCCTTCCATCCACCATCCATCTTCCATCCATCCATCTTCCATCCATTCCATCCTCCTTCCTTCCATCCATTCCATCCTTCCTTCCATTCCATCCTCCTTCCATTCCATCCTTCTTCCATCCATTCCCTTCATCCATTCCATCCACTCCTTCCATCCATTCCATCCATTCCTTCCATCTCCATCCTCCATCCATCCTTCCATCCATTCCATCCATCCATTCCATTCCTTCCTCCTTCCATTCCACCTCCTTCCTTCCATCCCTTCCTTCCTTCCATCCATCCCTCCTCCATCCTCCCTCCATCCATCCTTCCATCCTTCCTCCTTCCATTCCTCCTTCCATCCTTCCCTCCTTCCATCCTCCTTCCATCCATCCTTCCATCCATCCATCCATCCTCCTCCATCCATCCATCCATCCATCCATCCATCCATCCATCATCCTCCATCCCCTCCTTCCATCCATTCCATTCCTCCATCCCTTCCTCCCATCCATCCTCCTTTCCATCCATCCTTCCTCCTTCCATTCCATCCATCCTTCCTTCCTCCATCCATTCCTTCCTTCCATCCTCCTCCTCCATTCCATCCTCTCCATCCATCCATTCCATTCCTTCCATCCTTCCTTCCTTCCATCCATCCTTCCATTCCATCCATTTCCATCCTTCCTCCACCTTCCTTCCATCCATTCATCTCCATCCATCTCCATCTCCTCCATTCCCATTCCATTCCATTCCATCCACCTTCCTCCATTCCTCCATTCCATTTCCATCCTTCCATCCATCCCTCCTCCATCCATCCATTCCTCCATCCTTCCTTCCATCCACCATCCTTCCTTCCTTCCATCCCTCCTCCATCTCCTTGTCCTTCCTTCCTCCTCCTTCCTGTCCTTTTCCTCCTTCCTCCATCCTCCATTCCATTCCTCCATCCATTCCTGTCCATCCATCATTCTCATTCCTCCTCCATGTCCTTCCATTCCATCCTCCTTGTCCTTCCATCCTCCCATCCACTCCTTCCACTTCCTCCTTCATTCCTCCATCCTTCCATCCTCCATCCATCCATCCATGTCCTTCCTTCCATCCCTCCTCCTCCTTCCATTCCTCCTCCATTCCTCCATCCATCCTTCCTTCCA